TCCTTCAGGTCTGACCGAGCCAATTCATCGTCAGCACTGTCATTTCGCGCTGACAGATGCTTAAATACACCCTTACTTGAAGGATAAAAAAAAATCATTGCAATTACACCTAGTCAAAAAAAAAAAAAAAAAAAAAAAAAAAAAAAAAAATCTTCGGGAAAAAAAAACACTATAAGAGAAATTGAGATGGCAATATAGGCCTATCATCTCCACAGCCAGGAAAGAATAGGAAAGATATGATACATATCAATATAAGAATTTTAAAAAAGTATCATGACAAGTATTTCAGCAAACCACTACCGCGTAGAAGTTGTGTATAGAGAATTGGATATATACATAGAAATATATGTTTATATATATATATATATATATATATATATATATATATATATATATATATATATATATATGCTCACACACGCACAAGATAAATAATACATATACGTATATAAGCAAATCATAACGAAATTCTCTCCACACACGTAGGAAATAAAGTAACAAAAGTAAATAACAGACTAAACAATAAGTAATAGACAAAAGCAAAGAAGAAGAAAAGAAATAAAAGAAAAAAAAACTAAAGCTGATCAAAACCAAATTCATTTCAGTCCCTCCTCGAAGCGAAGCCACGGCGGCCATCACCTGTTTCCTACGTAATCCTCAAAGCGTAGTCTTGGTAATCATGCACACGGGAGGCGTCGGGGACAATCACAGAGCCGCGCATGACGTGACCCGAGAGGCCGATGCGACGGTCGTTAATTGCCTGGCGTCATGCACAGAAGATCTCTGTTCGTGGGAGGGGGGTGGGGGGGGGGGGTCGATTTACGAACGGCGGTTAGCTTTAGCATTGGAGGGCTGGTTGGTAAGTGGGTGGTCACACTCACAAATATATACATACATATATATATATATATATATATATATATATATATATATACATATATTCATATATATATTCATACATATATACTCATATATATATATATATATATATATATATATATATATATATATATATATATATATATATGTATATATAGACATATATATATATGCATCTATAAATAAATAAATAAATGTGTGTATATATATGCATATACATGTATAGATAAATAAATGTTTATACATACATATATATATAGATATATATACACACACATATGTGTGTGTGTGTGTGTGTGTGTGTGTGTGTGTGTGTGTGTGTGTGTGTGTGTGTGTGTGTGTGTGTGTGTGTGTGCATGCATGCGTGTGTGTGCATGCATGCGTGTGTGTGAGCGGATCAGCCGCGTGTGTCTCCGAGCGCAGCCCCGACCCGCGTGGCGCCGCGTTCCACAACCTTTTCACAGTAGACTCCGTGACTCACCTCGCAGACGGGACAGGACTCACCTACGGGTTCTTGAAGCCCTTGAAACCTCGCCGAAGCCGGATAAATCTTCAAGGCCTCGCTGGAGTGACTTGTTGAACGAAAGGAAAGGGGAATGGAACGGAAGTGGAGAGCTTCTTCGCCTCAAGTTCAGATTCGTGATTAAATCGCTGTTTCGCAATGAAGTAGTTAGCGAGAACAGGTCGATATCTCTGCTGTTGACAAGGGCTGTGATTCACGCGTTTCAGGTATTTAAAATGAAATATATATGTATAGTTTTTTTTTCCTCTAAAAAACAATACTAGAAACATGCTGTATGATATACAATGTGCTATGCGCGTATTGAGCAGTATATATATGCATATTTTGTGTATATGTATGAATGTATATCTATCTATCTATACACACACACACACACACATATATGTGTGTGTGTGTGTGTGCGTGTCTTTGTGTGTTTCTGGATTCATCTATTTACAAAAAAACAAAACAAAAAAAAACAGACACACGTACACCTACATATATAGCTATGTCTCGAGTGCCTGACGGACTTAGAGCAGAGCGAGCATTATGTAAGCTCCTTTCACCGCGTCACGGCCGGCAGTCTAGCTCGGCGCCATTTCCATGTTAATATCTGCCTCGCGATCACAACAATGCTCGCCGCAGACACAATACCACCGGGAAAGAAAGGTTCTGTGTAATTACGAAGGTATGTGGTCGACTTCCTTTTATATCGTAATTTTCATATTTATACGGAGATTATCTGTTCACACACGCACGGGCACACGCACACACATATACACGTGTGTGGGTTGTATATGTGTGTATGTATATGCGTGTGTGTGTGTGTGCCAAATGATGGTAACTGAATATTCGGTGCCAAACGGTCATTTCATAACTTCTAATAGCTATAACCACTCACAAACACACTCTAAATATAGTGAAAGAACAATAAACGCAATCACCAAATAACATTGCATTGCGCCCCGTAAAAGTTTACCGCAGTTACCCCTATGAGTAACAACACCGCGGGGATGACGTCACAGTCGGTTAATATTATCAATGTCAAAATGTGGTATAAAGTTTAGCGCGGTATTGTGGTGTTAAGTGGTGTGGCGGTCTGGTGTTGTGGTATTTAAGTGTACCACCTTATGATGTTTTAAAAGAGTGCCTCTGATGGTTTCCAGAAAAAAAAATTGATTTTGGCTCACTGTGAGTTGTATACATACATACATACATACATACACACACACACACACACACACACACACACACACACACACACACACACACACACACACACACACACACACACACACTATATATATATATATATATATATATATATATATATATATATATATATATATATATATATAATTTTCGTCTCTAAAATGTCTAGCTAAATATAACCTAATATATGATTTTTTCCCGTATACCCTACTCAGCATAAAAAAAACACGTCTTTTCATACAGCAAAATTAAGGATTTTTTTTCCCCTTTTGCAGACGCAGAGAACACTCAAAACCAACGGAACCACATCGCGACGAAAAATAAAACAAACTTTTTTTTATCAGAAAACTATATTTCACTCTCTGCTACACATACACATCTCAGGACAAAAAAACAAACAAACACACACGCACACACACAGCCTGGCCAGCACAAGGCTAATTTTCAAACAACATTCGATCTTATTCGGAAAGAGACGATAATAGATAATAAATAATAAATATGGTAATAAAGCTAATAGATAAATTAAGGTGATTAGTAAATAAAGATAATTAGTAGAAAATGATAATTAATAAATAAAGATAAATAATGATAATAAATGAAGATAACAAATAAACATAATAAATAAATTAAGATAATAAATAAATAGACATAATAAATGAATATAGATAATTAGTAAATAAAGATAACAATAATAAATATAGATAACCAAAACGTCAATAACAGAGTCTTATATATACATCATCACGATTATATTTGTCATTATCATTATCAATATTTTCTTTCTCTCCCTTTACCGTTGAAAAGCGGGTTCTTCATAATCACAGATTAACAAATATATTCCTTTTTCTTTTCTTCTTCTTCTTCGGTAAAAAATATGGAAATTAAATACAATCTTCTACTTTTATTTGATGTTTTATTATTGTTATCATTATTTCGTGTTTATCTACTACTACGTAAAAAAAAAACATTTTAAAAATATTTTTCGATTCGCTTATTTATTTTTTATTATTATTATTTATTTCCTCTTCTGTGTTTTTCTGCAGTTCCTTCTTCCTTTTCTTTTATTTCTAATTAATTCACGTATTTCTTTATTCATCATTTGATCTAATTACCCATCTATCTATCTATTTATACATTTACCTATTTATTCATCTATCTATCTACCCAGTTATCTATTTATTTATTTATCTCCTTATTCATTTATTCATCCGTTCAGTCAAATGTCTTTCATCAGCTTCTTGTTTCTTGGGATAATCTGGAAGGAAGAGAAAGAAGGATTTAGACGGAAGTATAAAAAAAAGTCATTTTGAAAATTCTGTGCAAACTTTTACAGGATATGTATGTATGTATGTATATATATATATATATATATATATATATATATATATATATATATATATATATATATATATATATATATATATTATGAAGTCGTATTCGTCATCTATACTTATGAATTTTCTTTTTCTTTTTTGTTCATTGTCGGTGTCTCTTCCTCACTCTCATTTTTTTCTCGCTTTTATTTTTTCTCTCTCTCTTACCTTCTCTCTTTCTAACCCTCTCTCTTTCGCTCTCTCTCTCTCTCTCTCTCTCTCTCTCTCTCTCTCTCTCTCTCTCTCTCTCTCTCTCTCTCTCCTCTCTCTCCATCCTATTTTCTACCCCCCCCTTCTCTATCTCCATATTCCTTCCTCCTCTCTCCACCTCCCTCTTTTCTCTCTCTCTCCTACTCCCCCCCTCCCTCCCTCCCTTCACCCCACCTCTATACCCCCCCTATACCTCCCCACCCCTACCCCTACCCACCCCTACCCCTACCCACCCTACCCCTACCCACCTCCTCCTCCACCTCCTTCACTGCTCCTCCAGTTTCTTCAGCAGCGTCTCGAGAGTCAGGTCCTCCTCGGTGTACTGTGGCTTCGTTTCCTCCTCTTCCTCAGGCAGGAAATGCGAGACGGGCAGTTCCTTCACTGTCTGGATCCACGTCTTGAGCTCTACCAGGGACCCTCGGGCGATCTGGGGAGGGGGGGGGGAGGGGGGGTTAATTGATGTAGCGGTGATGATGATAATGATGATAACTATAATAATGATGGTGATGATAATATTAACAGTAATAGTAACAGCAGCAGAAACACTAACATTAATAATCATACCCCTAAAAAAAATAATAACAGCAATAACAACAACCATAACAAAAACAAAACAACCACCACAAAAATCCCAAAACAACCACGACGCCCCCCCATCACCCTTCCCCTCCCCCCTTCAACCACCCCCTCCCCCCAACACCCCTTATCACCCCTCCCTCCTTCAACCCCCCCAACACCCCTCCCCCTTCCCCTTCCACCTCCCACCCAAAAGAAAAAAAAAAACTCCCACCTTGCAGATCTGCCCCTCCACCGACGAATTGGGCTCGAACTGCAGGCAATACACCGTCCTCTCCAGGTACCCTTCGGCCTCGTGCAACTTCTCGAGGAACTGCGACTTCCTGAGGGTGGTTTCCTGGAAGGCTCGGTTGGCAGTGATCAGGAGGGGCGCGTGGAGTTCGTATAAAGTCAGGCCTGCAACGTTACGACAGGTAAAAGGTATTTAAATCTGTTGTATTGTGTAAATGGATCTTTTGTAATATTTGAAAGAAAAAATATATTGTATTATTAAAAAGAATCTATTGTATTATTTAAAAGAATCTACTGCATTGTTTAAATGAATCTATTGCATTATTTAAATGAATCTATTGCATTATTTAAGAGAATGTATAGTATCATTTTAAAAAATCTATTGCGTGATTTAAGAGAATCTACTGTATTATTCATGAGAATCTGTAGGTGGTGGTGGCAGTGACTAAAGTAGAACAGATTGCAAAGGTTATGATATCATCTTTAAAGTCTTTTGTATCATTTTAAAAAATCTATTGCGTTATATTTAAATAGCTATAGGTGGTAGAAGTAGTTGATATTAGCGGGAAGTGACTAATGAAGAAGAAATCACAAATATTATTGTATTAAAATAGTATTTAAGATATATATATATATATATATATATATATATATATATATATATATATATATATATATATATGCTGTATTATTTTCTAGAAAAAATATACTATATTATTTTAAAAGAATCTCTAGGTGGTGGTGGGAATGACTAACGTAGAAGAGATCACAAAGATTATAGTATTATTAAAAATATATATATAATATTATCTTTTAAAATCTTGAGGTGGTGGCAGTGACTACCGTAGACGAGATCACAAAAGTTGTAGTATTATAAAAAATCACTAGTAATTGCACCAGTATATCTAAAATACCTTAGAAGTAAGTATACCTCAAATATTACCAACGAGTTAGATTAGTTGGAATTACAAACGAGGTACTTAGCGAGAATTACCAACAGTTAGACTAACAAGAATAACCACCTATTTATATCAGCTAACCAATTAAATGACCAAAAACTACACATTACCAACGAATTAATTAGCAAGAATCATTAATAAATTCCCAGCTCCCTAAATGAACAATAATTCCTACCTGCTTCATTAACACACATACCTAACGAATAACTAGCTAGTTAAATGATCAAGATTTAACAGCAAGTTACCAACTAGTTCATTAGCAAGAATTAACAACGATTTACCAAGAAAAAGGTAGCCAAGGAAATTAATTAATTAATAATTATCAACGAATTAATCACCAAGAATTAATAAAGAGCTCCCAACGAATTATTTAACGACCTCCTAACGAATTAATTAAAGAGCTGTTAACGAATTAATTAAAGAGCTATTAACGAATTTATTAAAGAGCTGTCAACGACTTTATTAAAGGCCTCCCAACGAATTACTTAACGACTTCCTAACGAATTAATTAAACAGCTATCAATGCATTAATAAACGACCTCCCAAGCTATTATCGAATCCATTAACGACCTCCCTACGAATTGATTAAAGAGCCATTAACGAATTTATTAAAGAGCCGTTAACGAATTAATCAAAGAGCTATTAACGAATTATTTAACGACCTCCTAACGAATTAATCAAAGAGCTATTAACGACTTAACGACCGACCTCCCACCCAACGTACCTCTAAGTCTCGAGATGCCCGGATCCAGCACGTCGAGCACTTTGAGCAGGTCGCGGCAGCAGGCGATCTTCCGGGCTAGCTGAGCCTCCGTCAGTTCCGGAAGCAGGTAGCCGTCCACTCGCCCGATCACCTGTGTGGAGGGAGGGAGGGAGAGGGAGGGAGGGAGAGGGAGGGAAGGGAGGAGGGAGAGAGGGAGGGTGTTAAAGGGAGGGAGGGAGAAGGAGAGAAGGGGAGGGGAGGAGGGAGAGAGGGAGGGACGAAGGGGGGGAGGGGGGACGGAGGGAGATAGATAGAGAGAGGGGGGGAAGGGAGGGAGGGAGGGAGGGGAGGAGGGAGAGGGGGAAGGGAGGGAGGGAGAGAGGGGGGAAGGGAGGGAGGGAGAGAGGGGGGAAGGGAGGGAGGGAGGGAGATAGGGAGGGAGGGAGAGAGAGAAGGTGGAGGGAAGGAGGGAGAGAGAGGGATAGAGAGAAGAGGGAGGGAGAGAAATGGGTAGAGAGAGAGAGAGAGAGAGAGAGAGAGAGAGAGAGAGAGAGAGAGAGAGAGAGAGAGAGAGAGAGAGAGAGAGAGAGAGAGAGAGAGAGAGAGAGAGAGAGCATTGCATATGCAATTGGTAAATAAATTCTGTATATGCGTTATAAATAGATACAGTGTATATATACCCGATAAAAAGATACTGCATATCCATTTGATAAATTGAAACTGTACATATTTCGTTAGCGTTTATACATTAGGTAAACAGACACTGTATGTACATTTGGCAGATAGTTACGGTTTGAACACTTGATAAGTACATATTATAAGTACTGCATATTGGTTTACATTAAGGATCCA